AGCACAGTGTGTAGATCACTCCGGAGCAGCCAACCTCTCCTCTTGACCCTAAATCACTTGCTGCTTCTCCCCACTTGGATCACCATTAAAAGGAGATGAGTTGCCACCCTGTAAGAAGGGGAGTCTATTGGTCCATGGAGCAACCTTCATTTCTTAGTGGCTGCATGAGGAGAAACTGTGGAGTCCTGATTGACAGTCTTAGGCCATTATTGCGTATTGTAAGTGACACCTTTTCTTGAATAGTAACTGATATCCACCTCTAACCTCTTTGTAATTTGCTGGTGGTATTTAAATCCTTGTATTTCTGCATATGTTAAATGCCACCTCAATTATTAAAAGGAAGCATTGTTACATTTGAGGATGAGTTGATGTGCATTATTCAATGCCAAATATTATGTGCATTAATTAATGCCAAATATGCCTCGTGTTCACAGCAGACAGTGGACCTGGAAGATCGCAATGCCATTTTGAGTTCAAGTTTTAGCATAATTACAGTTCATGGCCCTTAGTGGTAGCGTTACCTTTGAAAAGGTAGGAGGAGGATCAAGTGACATTGCATTGTACATCTGTTTAGAAGCCAAAATGCATTGTGGAGTTGGTTACTTTACACTCAGGCATAGAATAACCATGGCTGGTTGAACCAAAACCATTTCTTAGTGACATCTTATAACTTTTTAATATATCTTTAATTATTCATACTGAGATTGTCTGAAGATTCCAGTTTTTTCCAAAGCTTCATTGAGTAAGCTTTTCTTTCCATGTCTGAATGAATCAAAGTTGGAGGCAAATTAAATTTCCCATGATCTGCTTGCTGTGATGGTCTGACAAACTTCTGACATTTTCTGATGAAGACTTCTGGTTCCTAGGCAGTCTCAGTGGGTGCTGCAGTGCAGAGTTGGCTCTCCCTTTGAAGTCCACATGTGTTTTCCCTGGATCTCCATTCTGAGCATACTCTTTGACATATCTGTTTGTGAATGATGATTTGGTTTTGTCACCTTTTCATACAGCTTAATTATTTTAAAGGCACGAGGGAGAAACTACAAATGGTGCTTCCCTTCAGCATCTCCTATACAGAAATAATATATCATGCCATTTTCAAGTGAGGAGAAAAATAAACTTCCCAGAGTGCTGTATGGTTAACCATAAAATGATTAGCCTACTTAGCAAATGTGGAAGTCCTTTTGTTCTCTGTACTGACAAATTCCATCTTTGGCTTGCTATGATAATAAAAGCCACGAGAAACTAGATTATCGGCATGCTAATACATTGTGACCATACTGATGAAGTTATATTTAGTTAAAAGTGTAAAGATAGTGAAATTACACTTATATTCCCTGTATGTTTAGTTCTCCTTCCGATTTGCCCCTATTACATTAGTACTTGCAGGAACCAGATGTTTTAGGTGGCTACCAAATTTATGTATCTGGCAATCCTTTGGGGCATAAGATTCTGTATATACTTTGTAAATAATATCACAATCTCATTTTAAAAAGTAATAATAATAATGACAATTTGCCTACATCTGTGAGTTTGATTCACATGGTCTAGATGATGATGCCAGAAATTTGTTCAGAAATGTTTAGTATGTCAAAGTAGCCTGGGATAGAGGCATGTTCATAGTCACCTGTTGCTAGTTGGAATATCCTATGTCTTTGGATGGAAGGAAGGTTTTTAGCACCATCTTTAAAAGTATGTTCTAGTTGACAGACGTATGTGGAATTTTTTTTTTATTGTTTTTTGTTTTTTAAATGGAGAAAGGCTGAAGCCATCTGCAGCCATCTTCCTAGTATTTCATGCCCTAGCTATTTCCCGTCTGGTTGTGCGAGTGTAGGCATGTGGCCTCCTTACTCAGATCAGGGCTTTAAACTCCTTTTCAAATGAATACAGCAAATAAATACCTTTCATTACTGGAAGCTATCATTTCGATTGCAAAAATATCCAGAGACCAGGAACACCTCCAAGTTCTGAATATCATGTTTTAGTGTATTTTATGTGGCAGGTGTTTATTTTTTTTTTCTTTCTTCCACGTGCTTTGGGGCAGCTTTTAAGCCAGTGGTGTCATTAAGCTGCAGCATCAGCTTGACATGTTTAAACTAGGGCCTGATTAAAAGTAAAATTGTATTTAGAAAGTGTTCTTCTGGACATGTGTGCGCAGGGAGCCAGCCCACTAATGGAACACCTCGGAGACATTGTGCAGGGCATGGCCACAGCTGTCTGGGGACTTTGGGAAAGAAACTCCATAGGTGCACTCTTGAGCTGTTCCCCATCCATCTGGGTTCCTATGCACTGTCCTAAATGGCTAACCTCAACATGTCAGCTGTAAACTCTGGAGAGCTAAATGCAGCAGATGTTATAAAAATTCCTTCCCCTCCCGTTGCCAGTGTACTTGCTTTCCATTGCAGAGCTAACTGAGTCTATCATTTGGGTGCAGATGGCCAGAAACTCAATCCTACCTGGAGCCGGGAGAGCCTCTTTGGTGTCAGCCTTGTGTTAATGAATCTGTTAAATTAGCCGGTGCTGACACGGCGCACTGAGAGCACTTTGTTGTACATAAGGGCTTGTATTGTTTGATCAGTACATAACTGAAAGGGTATTGATGTAAAAAGGTGTTTGTAGGGCAGCGGGAGGGTATCGAGTTAGGTCGGTGTTTGTGCTGCTCAGGCATCTGCTGGGAGCCGGGGCCAGAGAGCTGCGCTCCACCCAGCTCCCTCTTTAAAGGGCTATGAGCTGCTCTCCAGGAGCCCTTTTTCTCTGCCTTCTCTCTAATAATCATAGCTGAATAGAAGAAACTGGTTTAGATTTCAGTATGCTCATCATCTCAGAAGGTGTGTGAGTTGTCCCAAATCTGTTTGAGTACCTTATTTTTGACTTCTCATCTTGTTGAAAATACATAGCATCTCTAGAGAAAATGTAGAAGAGAAATGAAAATAATTACCCCCTACTCTCAATGAAGTCACATTCTGCCTTCTGCCCACTTATATTCCCATCTTAGAGTCAATATAACCCAGGAAGCAAATTTCGAGGTTTTTTTCCTTCTCTATTGCTGTTGCTTTGTTCATATGAAAGTCTTACCTTACACAAAAAACATTCTTGTAGCTTGCTCAATTAAAAAAAAAAAAAAATACATGTTTACCAACAGAGTGGTGGTATTCGTACCTTACACTTTTTTGCAGTGAAGTATTAGTATCATTATTTTTTGCAGTGATGCATTGCTGGAAGAATGGCATCTTTATTGGTCTTGCCAAAACGGAAAATCTGATGAGGGAGATGTACTTGAACCACAGAGTTCACCTGAAATGTAAATTCTGGAAGGTTGAATGTTGGTGAGACCTTGGAGGCACCTCATTAAATACGTTCATTTAAGAAATTAGCATGCTGAATATGTTTTCAAATGAATACAGATACAGTGGTGCATGCCTGGGATTTACGAGTGACAAACTGAGAAATTTTTGTTGACTGAGAAATGGACAGGTTTATGCTATTAACCTTGTTGTATTAGCCAGACAAGTGCTATTAAAAACATTATTATTTTCTGTTTGCATATACTAGAGGAGGTTCTGTATTTGGAGAAAATGGTCCTATTTTAACTAGCCTCTGAAGGAAAAGGAAAAGAAAAAAAAAAAGACAACCCCCTGCCAAAAAAAAAAAAAGTCCCCCAGCAACTGGGTTATCCTGTAACAAACTTGTTGGATAAGGACAACAATTGAATTTTTGTCTCACAAGAAACTGATGTTACCAGGTCTTAATTGAGTCAAGCCTACTTTAACATTTCTGGCCTTGCTACAAACGCATGCTGAAAGGGAGCTGATTGTATCACTGGGTGAAATATCTCTTTGCAAATGATTGGGAACATAGGGAACATCCTCCTTCTTCTCTTCCCTAGGAGCCACTTCAGCACTGTATTTAATGTAGTTTTAAAACAAGATTTCTGAAATGTGTGGCCAGCAGGTCGAGGGAGGTGATTCTCCCCCTCTACTTCGCTCTCGTAAGGCCCCACCTGGAGTACTGTGTCTAGTTCTGGAGCCCCCAATGCAAGAAAGATATGGACCTGTTAGAACGAGTCCAGAGGAGGCCACGAGGATAATCCGAGGGCTGGAGCACCTCTCCCATGAGGACAGGCTGAGAGAGTTGGGGCTGTTCAGCCTGGAGAAGAGAAGGCTCCGGGGAGATCTTATAGCGGCCTTCCAGTACCTGAAGGGGCCTACGAGAAAGCTGGGGAGGGACTTTTTACAAGGGCAGGTAGTGCTAAAATAAGGGGTAATGGTTGTAAACTGGAAGAGGGTAGGTTTAGATTAGATATTAGGAAGAAATTCTTTACTGTGAGGGTGGTCAGACACTGGAACAGGTTGCCCAGAGAAGCTGTGGATGCCCCCTCCCTGGAAGTGTTCAAGGCCAGGTTGGATGAGGCTTTGAGCAACCTGGTCTAGTGGAAGGTGTCCCTGCTCATGGCAGGGGGGTTGGAACTAGATGATTTTTAAGGTCCCTTTCAACCCAAACCATTCTATGATTCTGTGAAATGCAGTGAAGTGAGGAGAATTAGTATTTATTGGGGTCAGATGTTCCTGAGAGAGTTCAATGGGAATGGGAATAGATACAGTCAACACTTAATGTTTTCTTAGAGCCTGTAAGAGGAAAGAATAGATGGAGCAGCATGTTTGTGAATAGTGTAGTAACATCACAGAGGTATTGTAGGTTAAGCCTAATAACAGGTTTTGCAGGAGCCATTGCAGGGGTATTTGCTGATGAAAATCTCTTCTTTTTAATCAGAGGACCTTTCTTGGTGGCTTTGGGGAAGTCGTGGCATCCAGAGGAGTTTAATTGTGCTCATTGCAAAACCTCTATGGCTTACATCGGGTTTGTGGAAGAGAAAGGGGCACTGTATTGCGAGGTCTGCTATGAGAAGTTCTTTGCCCCTGAGTGTTCAAAGTGCCAGAGGAAGATCCTTGGGGTAAGTGACCAGCAAGTGGACTGTTTTTCAGTGTTACAATATGCAATAACCACAGTGTTCAGTGCCCCGCTGTAATGAAATTCCCTTTTATTTGGCCCAGTTTGCATTCTTCCAAACATACTCTAACATACCTTTTCACCTCCCATCTCATGCAGAATATGGTTTTGGCTCTTCTAATGTTGAGCCTTTTCAATCTCTTTGAGAAAAGGTGCTGTAGTCTCCAAGTTCAGCCCCTGTTTTCGTGAAGCTGTTCTGTAGCTGTTGTAATTACTAGATTTTCTTGAGCAAAATGCTTTTAATTGGCAGCTTTCTACAGAATTGGAGGGGGTGGGGGGAAGGAGAAAAAGAAATAATCCTCCTTAGCTGAGTGCTGAGGAACACTCTTGTTGGCTAGATGTGAAGTACCAAAATATTCCCAGTGGTAAATGTAGATAGAAAGACGCATTATCCTACTCGGCACTAATATTGCTCCTTGGAGCCCGCCAGCTGATCGTCGGCCGCTTTACTGCAGACAGTGATGTCTGGACTCTTGTGTAACTGGGGTCACACAGGGCTCTGGCAGTGCAATTCTCAAGTCATATTTGGCACTATAGCGTCTTACAAAACAACACAGAGCAGTCATAATTTTCTGTGATGTCTTCTGATTAACTATTCACAGACTGAGGAGGTGTCAGAGATGCTGCTTTTCTTATTTCAAGGGACTGTTGGGGGTTAGAGCCTAATTAAAATCGAAAAAGTGAACAAAGTACTTGTTAAATGTTCAGCTCTGTGTTGAACCTTCCAAAAAATGAAAGGTTGCTTATAACAAATATGCAGATGTACCAAGAAATAAAGCACTTCATTAAGTTTTAACTTCAGCAGAGATTGTGTGCACAGCTCATTTTCAAAGTAGCAGTAGGAAGTAAAGTATTATTGAAACAAATCAAGTATGGAGGCATGGTCGCCATAATCTAGTCATCACATCAAAATAAGGCGTTAATAACACTTTTTCTAATCCCCACAGGAAGTAATAAATGCTTTGAAACAAACTTGGCACGTTTCCTGCTTCGTGTGTGTGGCCTGTCATAACCCCATTCGCAATAATGTCTTCCACTTAGAAGACGGTGATCCCTACTGTGAGACGGGTAAGAAGCAACACAATCAAAGTTTTCTGCAGCTGTGTGGGGAAGCAGAGCTTAATAAGGTTGGAAAAAATAATAATTCCTTTTTCTTAGGCTTCGCTTCAGAAAAAGTGTCCCAGCAAATTCATATAGCTTTGATATGTCAATTCATATATTTTGTTTTGATTTTTTAAGAGCAGCAGCAAATGCTGTAGACACTTTGAGTTTGCCGCAGGAGAAGCTAGTGAGAATTTCTTCATTGGCTTCAGCA